GTCTATTATTCATTTTCTACAATACTTTATAAATTATAACTTCTTTTTAGAGTAATTTCTAAAATTTTTAAATAATTTTCAATGGATGTTAGAGAGGTTGACACATTCTTGTTAACTGTATGATTTGTTTAGTCATTACTGAATATCAGAACAAACCACAATAAGATTTTCAAGATACTGTGTTGTAAAATAATTTCAATTCAAAAAATTAAAAAAAAAAAAAAAAAAGAGAAGAGAAATCTATTTTTTCCTGTAAGTTTAAAATTTTTCTTTTACCTAGTAAATACTAAATTTCAAACAACAGTGGCAGTTAGTCTCATTGAATATCCTTTATCTTTATTAACTATTATTTGTTATTTCTTTTAAACAGTAGATAATTACATGAATATTATTGTAGGTTTTAAGCAAGGAGACTAGATTTTCAGTTATAATAAATAAAATATTCAAGTACTATTTTATCTTAAAAAATTCCTATTTGTTTATATGTTTATTTACGTGTATAATATTCCTAAAAAATATTTATGCTGTATGTAATAGCTGATCTTATATTACTTTTATTGTTTGGATCAAATTTAAAATAATAAACATTTTTCAAAGTTCAAACTTATGCCAATCAAACCATTTTTATATATTTGTGTAGAAAAATGGCAAGTAATGTACTGAGAATTAAAAACTAATCTATAAAAATAAATTTTTCTTCCTTTTTTAAATCATATTTAGAATATTTTATTTCATATATACAGTATTTGCATAGAAAATGTTATCTTTTCATTTAAAATTAAATAAATATATTAAATTGTTGATATTTTATTGATAATCTTGCTATTTACACTCTTCATCAACAAGCTTCTTCATAAACAGCTATAAAAAAAATGTTAAATATATTATTAACATTTTCTTTACATAAATATTTTTCAAAATATTTATAAATGAATAAATTTGAATAATTTCTACCTTACCTTCAGAACTGGAAACACTGTATGTTCTGCCACTGATAAAGGGTAAAAATTTAGATATTATTTTCTAAAATATATGTTTAAATTAAGTTAAATTAAAATGTAAAATTATCTTTTAGTGCTATTTTAAATACTTAAATGCTATATTTCATTGTCTTAAAATAATAGTAAAAAAGATATATTGCAAACAATGACACTAAGATTATTGAAATAACTACACTTGATGAAATTATTCCTTTTAATGAAAGTTCTCACTGGACATTATTACATCAATAAGAATTTGTATTTTTATCTCAAATATGCAATTTGGATTTGTTTTTATATAATCTTCCCCTTATTGATCTAGTGTTGTTCACTAAGAACTAATAAAGAGAACAATTTATCTTATTTTAGTTATTTATGTAATATGTAAGTATAGAATACATTTATTCATAAAATACAACATTGATTCATTCAGTAACATTTGTTTTCATTAATTAATGAAAAAATTATATTACTGTATTTGTTTGTGTTTGCATGTGTATATATCTTTAGAAAAATATCAAGCATTTTATAAGAATGTTAAACAAAATAATGATGTGACACACACATTGTTTCATGATATCAACAGGAAATTCAGAAAATATAAAACTNTCATATTTTCATCTCGAAAGAAAACATCTATAAATTACCTAATTTACCTTGCATGTTTAAAGTAAATATACTGTATACGTAACTCACATTATATACAATACTGTACGTAAATTTTCCCATACAATTATATTATTAAGATATGTTGTATTTGCGCATATCGATGGCTTGGAATGAAAACCTCGTAAGCCATGAAATCACTTTATGGTTTATATATCAAGTTTACTCCTTAAATTTTTAGGTGAAAGAATGCGTATTTTGGATTTTAAATGATTAACGCTAAACATTTTTAAATTATTAAACGTTATAATTGTGATAAAAGTATTTTAATTGTCCAACCCGATAATTTTTTTTACCGTTTTCTCGCTTTCTCTGAAATATTGCAAATTTGGTGTTAGGTCTACAAGTTTTTTGCTTTAGATATTGATATATAAAATTTATTTTGTTATAATCCTTTTACGTTTATTTATTATTAATTCGAGTTAAGGAATCACTCAAGAAATTAAATTTACTAATAAATAAATAGATAAATTTCACAACATAAAATTTCTTCTTCAGAAGATTAGATAATGCTTATTCTTTTTATGGGAGGGAAGAAAGAACTTTTTATGGGTAAAAGGGAGATGATATCCAAATCTTTTATTTGAGGTACAATTTAAAACAAATATTGTAGACCTATAAATTCCAACTGTAGATGAAAGCCGAGACCAGATATAGAAAGATAGGGGCAGGAAGTCCCGATTAACTATATACGAACTTCTAAATGCAAACCGGAAGTCACGTTACTTCAATTCAAAAATTTTCTCCCGAAAGCAGTTAGATAGATGACCAGCACCACTCTATTGTTAAAGGAAAAGTATGATGTACAGGGGCAAGCCACTACTAATTTGAGGTGGAGAGCATATATTTTAAATTAAATAAATTAAAAACATGATTAAAAATTGCAGCCCAGCATTGTGACGATGTCAAAATAAATAATTGCTCGTTAATTTTTAAGTTTTTAGTATTTAAGAGATTATGATTTTTTTTAATATGCCATAAATTAACATTTATCTCTTGCAGCTGTGCTAAATTATATTTTTACTTTAAACAGTTTGATTTAAAAAAAAGCACAGAAAATTATAAACTTTAGAAAACAAATTAATAATAGGCAACAGTGCATTTTGTTTTATAGTAATTTTTTTAAATGTCAGTACAAAATAAATAACTGGAGTCACAAAATAACGATCACTAAGATTTACAAGTAGGCTATTTTAAATACTTATTTTATCGGATATGAAGAAACAAGTAGAAGTTGATTTGCACTTAACGCTTTTCTCACGAACTTGATTTAATAATTTTATAAACGAATTTTTAATTTTTTATCTTTTGATCAAGTACTGTATTAATAAGTGCAAATTTATTGTGTGTTTATTCTTGTCTCAGAAGTTTAATATTGCACTTAAAAACGCGAGATTCTAGGCAGAAGTCAAGGCATATTTTTATGCTATGCCTTAAAATAGACTATAAAATATAAAACTTAAATATACNGTTGAAAATTTCTTGATTTAAAATTTAAACATATAATTAGGATTTTCAAAATTTTCTTATATCAAATCTTATATGCAAAAATATGTACTATCTTGAATATATTAATTTGAATTAATTAGGTGCTTTTAAGTTAAAGTTAATTTAATAAATGATACATACTCTTTGCTTCCCATAGAACTTCTTCTTTCTTTCATGACCTAAAAATAGTGAATTATAATCATTGTAATTGATGATGATAAAAAATAATAATTGCACTTTTTCTAGTTGAACAAATTTAAAACATTGCTTTATTAAAGCAAAATTACATGAAAACTTCAAATGTTTTGAATCTGTAAAAATCACAATCTAAAAATTTGGTGAATTCATTTTTATGTGTGTTCCCTAAAGCAGGAATAGGCAACCCATGGCCCACAGTAATATTTTTTGCAGCCTGCGTAAAATATGAATAAATATATCAATTTGCCAGCTTAAAGAAGTATGCAGCAAAAATTCAAATGTTATTTTCTACAACTTATGTATGTGAATAGTTTTTCCCCATGAATTTAGTAAAAATTAAAACAAAAAACAGGCTAACAGACACATTGAAACGAATTTAAAGTTAGCAGTGACTAACATTTAACCAAATATTTCCGATATATTATGTTTGCATCAGTACCAGAAGCTAAATTAACTATATCTATGCTAATTTAAAATTATATATGAATACATGATTGTGATTTACCAACATTTTTTTCCCTCATTTCTCTTGTATGTGGCCTGCATCAGTTCAAAAGTTTTGAACTGATGCAGTTTGGGACTTTTACATAATTTGCTCCAATACAGCAGTGTTTTATATTTATTGAAATTAATTCATTTTGGTATTATATGTATAATGAAAGAATTAATTTAATTTATTCAGAAATATAAATTTTATAAAAAATACAAAAACAAATGGATAACTTAATCTTACTGTTTTTATTGAATTAGCATCCATTTTTATATTATCCAATTCCACATATCCAACTGAAAAATTTTAATATTCTTTGTAATTACCAGTAAAATAAGATTTTAATTAAAGATTTGGAAATTTACTTTTTCCTTTATCATTTTGCACAAGCCATCTTCCAACTGGATTATTTTCCATTCTAAGAATTAATAGTATATCTCCTTTCTTAACAGTTAAATCATTCTGACTTCCTCTTCTATCACTTTTTACATAACCTTTTTCTAATGGAATTTCATCTCCTGTTAACTGTAATAAAATAAACATTGTTACTTAAATTTTTAAATAAAAATACTAATTATACTAAGCTTTCTTACACCAAATTTTTTTCTTCTTTTATCTAATTCTCTTTCTCTCCTTTCGTGTTCTTTTTGTTCCTTTTGTAAATCTTTTAATAATTCTCTCTGACTTTTACTTCTTTTCCTTCCTTTGCTGTATACTTGAAATTCATAACTGTAACAAAAATTTAATAATTAGGTAAAAATAAGAAACAAATTAAAATAAATATAACAGAATATAAAATATTACTTAGAAAAAGGCATTTCTTCATATATTTTATCATCGTTNCGTGTGAATAACGGAGAAAGAACAGAGAAGGACCGCGAAGTGAAAATAAATATGAAATTGAGTCGATAACATAATCGAACAAGTCGAAAGCAGCTTATTGGCGCGAAATTCGCGGCCGTCAATGCCAAACAATTGTTGTCATAGACTTCGGAACAGAAAGCTAAATGCTTGTAATGAAAGTCACTTAGCGTGCACGGGCGAAAACCTGGGGCCGTTCGGGCTATCAAGCTGTCTCGAATCTGTGAAATCATAACTGTGACTTATATCTACGTCCTATCTGTCTCTTTTCTCCGTTGTCACCAGGCTGAGTCACGTAACTGTAAAATGGGAACTCTACGACAGAGAAGTGACGAATCAAAAGTATCGTGAGCGTGTATTGTGATGTATGCACAGGCATACGTGGATTAGAGCGATAGAGGAAAGAGAAAGGGAAGAGCAAAGACGAGCGCTTAAAAAGAAGGTAGGCAGGGTCAGACCCTCAAATGTGCGAGGATTCTCCAACGATAGACGTGTACGTGTGCTGATCTTTGTAATTATAAATTGTGAATACATGTGACTAATATTATTTTCTTTTTTATTTTGTGCATGTTACAAGTTATAAATAAATATAAACAAACAACACTAACTCTATAACATTAACTCTAAATACCAAAATGATTAATTTACTGTATTTTTGTTCTTTCTTACTCCTCTTTTTAGGTATTCGGCCGAATAGTGAAAAATAGGCCGAATACCGAATAGTAATCGAATATTCGTTACATCATTAATTTTTACACGTTGCTACTTACCATTTTTTATAAAAAATTAGTATAGTATTTGTTAAATTTTAAATAATATATATTTACGTCGATTATTTCCGGGGTATTTATAAATTTTAAATGTTCCACGTTCTTGCCGGATACAGTTCTTTTATTCTATTTTTTAAAAACAGAATGGTTGTTATTTTCTGTTACCAGTGTCAATTCTAAAGACGAGGAACTCGTTCGGCCCTCAATAATAATTTTAAATGGTGCCGATTCCCAAAGTTTGGGGGCCAGCATCACTTAAAATATTGGAGGATTAAACAGTCGGATCTTCTAGAGTTGGAGTCCACGTTTTCTGTGATGCATATAAAATTTACCAATTTTTCATCGATAAAATTATATTTTGTGATGATAAACTGGTTTAAATTTTTTACATTTAGTGGAAAAATATCGACTGTTTCATTGTTTTTCTTCAAAAAGGCATGAACTTGCAAAATGTTTAAAATTTTTATAATCGAGAAATATTATATTTTTGAATAAAAAGAATCNACCAGTATGTCAGATTTATACCTAGCATTTATGATTCTTTAAGTGTTCCTGATAATGGGCATAAGCCTGAACATATCTAGTGTTTTCTAGATATGTTCTACTTTGTTCTAATGGTGTTTAAAAAAACAAAAACAAATGACAAAAAAAAAATAAACAAAATTAACCTGTGTATCTTGATATAATTCTTCAAGCAAATTATTATCTGAAATATAAAATTTGTATATTAAAGTAAATCACACAAAAAGTTATTTCAAATTTTCATTTCTTCATATAAGAAGATACCTGAAAAGTTTTCATTTTTGTTCTGTGGTAAATGATAACTGAACTTTTTAGGAGGAAGTATTGGTGGAGATAATTCATTATTTCTAATTTCTGATCCACTCCAAATACTATCGAAATTTTCTAAATCATTCTCTCTCCAAAACTGTTTTCTATTAAAAATATATAAACATATATTTATTTTATTTCAAAACAATTATATTCTTATGAAATTTAATATATAAAAATTAAAATTTTTTCATATTTTAAAAACAAAGTTCAGGTCATGAACTTATGTTAATTTATTTTATATCTTTGTAACTGAAATAAGAACAGATGAGATTTTATAAAGAGTAACACAAATTAATAAGACACTATTAACCTATGATTTAATGACTGTTTACATAAATGTCTTCTTAAATTTACCAATAGTAAATGACTATTATATTACAATATCATTAAGCAATACTATTTCTCAATACACACTTGACAATATACCAAATTTAACTTTGTTTTGACTGAAAACATTAATTAACAAAGAGAAATTTCATGTATTTATGTAAATACTTCAATACATGACCTTATAAGTGAATAAAGATAATTTATAAACTAATTGTTGCAGCTGTGTAACTAGTAATTAACTTAAGATTAACTATCCTTTAACTAATTTTTAAACTAGAACTATGAAAGTATAGTTTAAAATAGAACTAGAAAGATAGAAATAGTAGTAATTCATTACATAATCCAACCGAATTTNTATAGTATTTGTTAAATTTTAAATAATATATATTTACGTCGATTATTTCCGGGGTATTTATAAATTTTAAATGTTCCACGTTCTTGCCGGATACAGTTCTTTTATTCTATTTTTTAAAAACAGAATGGTTGTTATTTTCTGTTACCAGTGTCAATTCTAAAGACGAGGAACTCGTTCGGCCCTCAATAATAATTTTAAATGGTGCCGATTCCCAAAGTTTGGGGGCCAGCATCACTTAAAATATTGGAGGATTAAACAGTCGGATCTTCTAGAGTTGGAGTCCACGTTTTCTGTGATGCATATAAAATTTACCAATTTTTCATCGATAAAATTATATTTTGTGATGATAAACTGGTTTAAATTTTTTACATTTAGTGGAAAAATATCGACTGTTTCATTGTTTTTCTTCAAAAAGGCATGAACTTGCAAAATGTTTAAAATTTTTATAATCGAGAAATATTATATTTTTGAATAAAAATAATCATTATTAATTTAAATCCTACCTGAAATACATAACTTCTGGCTTTTTAAAATTTTGCTGAATTCCTTTCAAATTTTTTAATTTGCATTTTATGTTATAATAATTGTGTTGAGTCCAACCTCCCTTTAGAGAGAATAATAATTTGTTAAATTTCTATATATGCGAACAATTTTTATAAAAAAAAAAAAAAACTTTATTGTATGTTAATTCGTTAATTTTTATAAAATGAACCAACAACTGTTTAACATTTGTTAAAATGGTTTTTTTTAATAAAGTTTTGCACCAAATGCAATTTTATCACATAACTTTGATACATGGTTGCGATACAACAAAACATTTATTGACAAATGTCTTCCTGTTAAAATGACATTTATTTCAAACTACTGTAAATTACGAACAGCTCTTTAGGCGTGACGAATAATGACTACAAGTAGGCCTATATATAAAAATTAGAAATGGGGAATACTCGAGTACTAGGAAGTATTGTATTCCAGATGCTTGATCTCAAATATTGCGTTGATAAAAAAATAAATTCAAATATTACAAATACACCTCTAATATGATGTCATACGTACAGTGACAGATCTAGACGTATCGAAAGGGGACTAACTCAAAAATAAAAAATATTTGAATTAATTAATAACACTGTATCTTTTATTAACATGTTTAGGACAATTGTTAAGGCTGTTATACACGTTACGGAAATCCTTTGAGGATTAACCGTGATTTTTTTTTCTATCTATCCACCTTTAAATAAAAATAATTCTTTATACGTTGGGAAATATTTTAATAAGTTTTGTAAATTACTATGTTCGATCCAGCCAGTTATATCCGATTTTTTTTCGTCTGTTAAGTACATCCTTTGAGAATTTCCGTAACGTGTATAACAGCCTTTAATGTATTGTAACTGAGATAACCAGTATCTAAAAAAGTCCGCTTTAAAACTCAGTCAAAATTAAAAGTTTGAAGTTTCAATTTTTAAAATTATATACTGTATATAGAAATAGTGATATAAATTGACTTAAAAGGGTTTTCTATCCTCACGAAACGAATACAGTATCTCCCTTAGTCAATAGTTCCTGGATGAAATCTTTACAGCGTGTGTATTATCTCCAATACTTTCATAGCGAATAATTTTCTGATCATTGTTGACCAATACAGGTATTTCTTCCTAAAATTCTGATACTGTAATTTGCTCTACAATTTATTATTGCTTTAGGATCATTGTGACTGAAGACTGTAGTTGTAAGTTCTGAATAAACAACTTATCTGAAGGCATATTAGTAAAAATATTCTACAGTTTAACATGTTTAATGTAGTCTATTATTCATTTTCTACAATACTTTATAAATTATAACTTCTTTTTAGAGTAATTTCTAAAATTTTTAAATAATTTTCAATGGATGTTAGAGAGGTTGACACATTCTTGTTAACTGTATGATTTGTTTAGTCATTACTGAATATCAGAACAAACCACAATAAGATTTTCAAGATACTGTGTTGTAAAATAATTTCAATTCAAATAATTAAAAAAAAAAAAAAAAAAAGAGAAGAGAAATCTATTTTTTCCTGTAAGTTTAAAATTTTTCTTTTACCTAGTAAATACTAAATTTCAAACAACAGTGGCAGTTAGTCTCATTGAATATCCTTTATCTTTATTAACTATTATTTGTTATTTCTTTTAAACAGTAGATAATTACATGAATATTATTGTAGGTTTTAAGCAAGGAGACTAGATTTTCAGTTATAATAAATAAAATATTCAAGTACTATTTTATCTTAAAAAATTCCTATTTGTTTATATGTTTATTTACGTGTATAATATTCCAAAAAAATATTTATGCTGTATGTAATAGCTGATCTTATATTACTTTTATTGTTTGGATCAAATTTAAAATAATAAACATTTTTCAAAGTTCAAACTTATGCCAATCAAACCATTTTTATATATTTGTGTAGAAAAATGGCAAGTAATGTACTGAGAATTAAAAACTAATCTATAAAAATAAATTTTTCTTCCTTTTTTAAATCATATTTAGAATATTTTATTTCATATATACAGTATTTGCATAGAAAATGTTATCTTTTCATTTAAAATTAAATAAATATATTAAATTGTTGATATTTTATTGATAATCTTGCTATTTACACTCTTCATCAACAAGCTTCTTCATAAACAGCTATAAAAAAAATGTTAAATATATTATTAACATTTTCTTTACATAAATATTTTTCAAAATATTTATAAATGAATAAATTTGAATAATTTCTACCTTACCTTCAGAACTGGAAACACTGTATGTTCTGCCACTGATAAAGGGTAAAAATTTAGATATTATTTTCTAAAATATATGTTTAAATTAAGTTAAATTAAAATGTAAAATTATCTTTTAGTGCTATTTTAAATACTTAAATGCTATATTTCATTGTCTTAAAATAATAGTAAAAAAGATATATTGCAAACAATGACACTAAGATTATTGAAATAACTACACTTGATGAAATTATTCCTTTTAATGAAAGTTCTCACTGGACATTATTACATCAATAAGAATTTGTATTTTTATCTCAAATATGCAATTTGGATTTGTTTTTATATAATCTTCCCCTTATTGATCTAGTGTTGTTCACTAAGAACTAATAAAGAGAACAATTTATCTTATTTTAGTTATTTATGTAATATGTAAGTATAGAATACATTTATTCATAAAATATAACATTGATTCATTCAGTAACATTTGTTTTCATTAATTAATGAAAAAATTATATTACTGTATTTGTTTGTGTTTGCATGTGTATATATCTTTAGAAAAATATCAAGCATTTTATAAGAATGTTAAACAAAATAATGATGTGACACACACATTGTTTCATGATATCAACAGGAAATTCAGAAAATATAAAACTTTTTTAGTTTAACAAAATGATTATGTATAATTTTCTCTTTTAATCTTGTAAATATAATACAATTGACAATTGATATTTTATAAAATAAATTAAGTGTTTTAATTACAATAATGAAATAATTTATATAACAGAATTTTTATATCTATTAATAAAATTAGTTAATGTGGCACACCAGCATATTGAGATATATGGCAAGTTTCAAGGTAAATCATTAAGTAACTGCATAATTGATATCTGAACAAAACCAGCTAAATTCACAATTCCTTTCAAGTACTGTACATGCAATGCAATCTGGTGAGTATATCTGACTTTAGTACAATGCTGTCAGATGATATAAATGTTCACTAGTGAATGTCCAAAATGGCTGCTTCACTTGAGTGTTGCACAAAGGTTGAATTATATGCTTAATGAAATTTTTGCATACAGAGAACTTGATAACTATTGATATACATTGTTGAATGTTGTATTGGGTGTACCAGTTTATTCCAGAAAGCAAATGAAATGCAATGGAATGGCATCATCTGGATTTCCCAAAACTCTGAAAAAATCTGTACACAACCATCTGCAGGAAAGGTTATGCTTCACAGTGTTTTGGGATTGTAAAGGAGTAACATTACTTGCCTAAGGTTCAGACAGTAAAAGACACAACTATGACCTTCACCAAACTAAGGCCAGCTATCTAAAGGAAATGTCAAGGTAGCCTTTTCAAGAGCATGTGCTTCATGTAAGACAGTTCCAGGTTTCATACAGCAAATGACATTTGAATTCTGTTTCAACCTAACTTATGTGATTTGAGAGCCTTCTACACCCACTGTACTCCTCTGACTTGCAATCATGTGACCTCCCATCTGGGGCACTGAAAGACATCGTAGAGCCACCATTTTCACTCCAATAAGAGGTTCAGTTTGTGGTGCATGAGTGTCTCTGCAGTCAGCCAGAAGACTTTTATTTCTGACATTCGTGCATTGGTATCCTTGCTAGCACAAATGCATTGACACCAAGGAAAATTAACTTTGAGACTTAGACAAACAAATTTTACTTAATGACTGACCCTTGTACAATTACAGTCCATTATGAATGAGTTTGTTTTGCAACAGGATTGGCCAATGTCTAGAAACAATGCCAATACAATAAATTATATTAATGTTAATTTAAATTTCAATGTTGAATCAGAAATAAAAAACTTGAATTAATGTTGAAAATTTCTTGATTTAAAATTTAAACATATAATTAGGATTTTCAATATTTTCTTAAATCAAATCTTATATGCAAAAATATGTACTATTTTGAATATATTAATTTGAATTAATTAGGTGCTTTTAAGTTAAAGTTAATTTAATAAATGATACATACTCTTTGCTTCCCATAGAACTTCTTCTTTCTTTCATGACCTAAAAATAGTGAATTATAATCATTGTAATTGATGATGATAAAAAATAATAATTGCACTTTTTCTAGGTGAACAAATTTAAAACATTGCTTTATTAAAGCAAAATTACATGAAAACTTCAAATGTTTTGAATCTGTAAAAATCACAATCTAAAAATTTGGTGAATTCATTTTTATGTGTGTTCCCTGAAGATTAGTCTAAAGCAGGGATAGGCAACCCGTGGCCCACAGTAATATTTTTTGCAGCCTGCGTAAAATATGAATAAATATATCAATTTGCCAGCTTAAAGAAGTATGCAGCAAAAATTCAAATGTTATTTTCTACAACTTATGTATGTGAATAGTTTTTCCCCATGAATTTAGTAAAAATTAAAACAAAAAACAGGCTAACAGACACATTGAAACTAATTTAAAGTTAGCAGTGACTAACATTTAACCAAATATTTCCGATATATTATGTTTGCATCAGTACCAGAAGCTAAATTAACTATATCTATGCTAATTTAAAATTATATATGAATACATGATTGTGATTTACCAACATTTTTTTCCCTCATTTCTCTTGTATGTGGCCTGCATCAGTTCAAAAGTTTTGAACTGATGCAGTTTGGGACTTTTACATAATTTGCTCCAATACAGCAGTGTTTTATATTTATTGAAATTAATTCATTTTGGTATTATATGTATAATGAAAGAATTAATTTAATTTATTCAGAAATATAAATTTTATAAAAAATACAAAAACAAATGGATAACTTAATCTTACTGTTTTTATTGAATTAGCATCCATTTTTATATTATCCAATTCCACATATCCAACTGAAAAATTTTAATATTCTTTGTAATTACCAGTAAAATAAGATTTTAATTAAAGATTTGGAAATTTACTTTTTCCTTTATCATTTTGCACAAGCCATCTTCCAACTGGATTATTTTCCATTCTAAGAATTAATAGTATATCTCCTTTCTTAACAGTTAAATCATTCTGACTTCCTCTTCTATCACTTTTTACATAACCTTTTTCTAATGGAATTTCATCTCCTGTTAACTGTAATAAAATAAACATTGTTACTTAAATTTTTAAATAAAAATACTAATTATACTAAGCTTTCTTACACCAAATTTTTTTCTTCTTTTATCCAATTCTCTTTCTCTCCTTTCGTGTTCTTTTTGTTCCTTTTGTAAATCTTTTAATAATTCTCTCTGACTTTTACTTCTTTTCCTTCCTTTGCTGTATACTTGAAATTCATAACTGTAACAAAAATTTAATAATTAGGTAAAAATAAGAAACAAATTAAAATAAATATAACAGAATATAAAATATTACTTAGAAAAAGGCATTTCTTCATATATTTTATCATCGTTTACCTTTAAAAAATAAAAATTTGACTTAAAATAAATTCAAATTATAAATAAAAAAAGTATATAAAAGACTAAATTTAATTATTACTGTAATAGTTTAATAGTTTTAACCAGTATGTCAGATTTATACCTAGCATTTATGATTCTTTAAGTGTTCCTGAACATATCTAGTGTTTTCTAGATATGTTCTACTTTGTTCTAATGGTGTTTAAAAAAACAAAAACAAATGACAAAAAAAAAAGATAAACAAAATTAACCTGTGTATCTTGATATAATTCTTCAAGCAAATTATTATCTGAAATATAAAATTTGTATATTAAAGTAAATCACACAAAAAGTTATTTCAAATTTTCATTTCTTCATATAAGAAGATACCTGAAAAGTTTTCATTTTTGTTCTGTGGTAAATGATAACTGAACTTTTTAGGAGGAAGTATTGGTGGAGATAATTCATTATTTCTAATTTCTGATCCACTCCAAATACTATCGAAATTTTCTAAATCATTCTCTCTCCAAAACTGTTTTCTATTAAAAATATATAAACATATATTTATTTTATTTCAAAACAATTATATTCTTATGAAATTTAATATATAAAAATTAAAATTTTTTCATATTTTAAAAACAAAGTTCAGGTCATGAACTTATGTTAATTTATTTTATATCTTTGTAACTGAAATAAGAACAGATGAGATTTTATAAAGAGTAACACAAATTAATAAGACACTATTAACCTATGATTTAATGACTGTTTACATAAATGTCTTCTTAAATTTACCAATAGTAAATGACTATTATATTACAATATCATTAAGCAATACTATTTCTCAATACACACTTGACAATATACCAAATTTAACTTTGTTTTGACTGAAAACATTAATTAACAAAGAGAAATTTCATGTATTTATGTAAATACTTCAATACATGACCTTATAAGTGAATAAAGATAATTTATAAACTAATTGTTGCAGCTGTGTAACTAGTAATTAACTTAAGATTAACTATCCTTTAACTAATTTTTAAACTAGAACTATGAAAGTATAGTTTAAAATAGAACTAGAAAGATAGAAATAGTAGTAATTCATTACATAATCCAACCGAATTTTTCATTTTAATAAATTATTGAAATAAAATATTACAGTTTCTTTATTTTTAACAAGAAATACAAAATGAAAGCATAATTTTGGATCATTTAAAGAAAAAATCTTTATTTATAATATACACAACTTTCTTGACTAAGTAAATTTTGTAAAAATTATTGTTTATTAAAATAATAAATTATTATGTATAGAATTAATATTTAAATACAAAATTTAGAAATTCATATACAAAATGTAAATTACAGTATTATCCTTCATTGAGAAATTTTTGAATATGTTTTATGTGAATATTGCTATACATTTATTACAAAATTACAAACATTTAAAATTAGTATACCCATAGAGTATGCAGATTATGACTTATATACTAAACAGTTTATACAAAAAATGTTTAAAATCACATGAAATGATTTTTGTTTATTTGAGTAACAAAAGACATAGAATTATGATTAAGCATAGAAAATTATCTAGAATTAGCAAAAGAAAATACTTGATTTAAAAATTTAATATTGTGATTTTATATATTATACAATATTATATAATATTATACAATATTAAATATATTGTGAAACAATAATAAAATAGGTAAAAGATAGACAATGATTTTAATGTAAACAGCAGATAAGTTTTTTATGGAGAAATTTTATGAACTAATAATTTAAAGACAGTAAATAGTTTGTAAACTCAACACAGTTTTCATAAATATATTGTTTTGTTGGAAAGATTAATGGTTTCATCACAGCATAAACCCACATTAATAAATCCTTATTATTACAAGTTCCATTAATAATAAAAATAAACTAACACCAAGGAAAATTAAAAAATATATATTAACAACAATAATAGATGAGAATGTCAAGGAATTAAAATATTTAAGAAATAAAACATTTTTAAAGATAATTATAAAGGCTGATCTTTTCTTATTATTTTTTTGTTTCAGGAAAAATAACAATGATAATGCAGTATTAATAAAATAGCCAAATAATACATTAAATAAATCATAATCATGTTTACAATAAAAATAAACATAATTAATATAAATGATAAAATAAGAATTTACTTTAGAGTAAATTGCAGGGCCGTGGAGTCAGAGTTGTGCAGTTTTGGTGTTTTAGCCGGAGTCAGTCATCAAAAAATCTGCTGACTCTGACTCCTTTTTACTTCTCAATTTGTTACGTATATAAAACGGAAAAGTATTGGAATCATGTCAAATTTGACCCTCCAAATTTTTTTTTGCAAATCTACACATACGTTTGGAGACCTCCCGAACCACCTAAAAAAAGTCAATAAAAAAGGAAAAATTTGTGTGCTTGTGTGTGTTGTCATCTAATTTGTTTAATTTCTTTTTCTGTTTTGATATATTAAACAATATCTCAGAATTGGTAAAGTTTAAGAAACAAAATGTGGCACTGTAGTTTGCATATAAAGGGTCATTAATACTATTAAATTTTGGTTCTTAATTAAAGGTTGACAGGGTGAAGACATAAAAGTGGTCATGTGTCATATCTCTTAATAAATATTTTACTCGTTATTAGCGTACAAAATTTAAAAAAATAACATAAAACTCGTCACTACCCTCAAAGTAAGCCTTTTTGTCATTTTATAATAGCACAGTAAAACCCGTTAAGATGTTCTCACCTACGATGTTAGAATGTGTATGGGGACATGATTTAGTTCAACCACTCCGACACTTAATAACTAACTCCTGTGTTAAACCACCTGACTCTGATTCTAACCACTCTGACCACAGAAATCATTAGGCTTCAAACAGGGTGAACAAAATCATGTCCCCTCCATACAGTCTAACATCCACACATATAGAAAAAAACCTTGAATCTTTTGCGTATCTCGAAATTTCAAGGTGTCCTGAGTCCAAAAATGTAAAAATTTGGGAGGGGTCACTTTTTGACTGAGCATTACACTTTCCCTCTGTTATATGTAGTACAATCCAAAAGTTCAGGGACTTGGCTTAAAATTCCTTACCTTAAAAAGTTTAAAGGTGGTTATGCATTGGCAATATAAAGTAATCACCTTGGGCAATGATACTCTTTTTCCAGTGCTTGTATAACTTCTGGAAGCACTGCTGTAAGCCAGTTTTTGAAATCTATCGTAAGGTCTCCTGCAATGCTGCTCTCACCTCATCTGATGACACAAAACGGCATCCCTACAAATGCTTTTCCATTGATGGAAACAAATAAAAATCACATGGGGCTAAGTCCGGTGAATAGGAGGGGTGTGGAAGCACATTAATTTGAGTTTTGGCGAGAAACTGTGTGACCATTTGGGACTGATGTTCAGGTGCATTGTAATGCATAAGGTACCAGTCTTCGCACTGCCAGATCTGTGGCCATTTACGACAAATGGATTCCTTCAAATGACATAAAATGTCTAGATAATGCTCCTTGTTTACTGCCTTCAGGAATAAATTCTGAATGAACAATTCCTTGAGAATCAAAAAACACCTCCATCATGACTTTCCTTTGCTCGGTGCATGCTAAGATCTTCCGTTAAAATATGCTGGCAACCAGTATTTGATAAGTGAGTAGTCGCAGTGATTTTTTTAAGGGTTTGGCAACGATCTTTGCGAACACATTGAGAGACCAACTCAACATTTTCCTTGTTCCGTGAAGCCGTAGGTCGGCCAGAGCGTTCATCATCTGCAATGGATTCTTGGCCCTCCGATGCCATTAGTACACCTTTGATTTCGCCATGTAAAATCACTGTACACCTTTCTTAGCAATTTTAAAGTCTCCGTAGGTGTTTCACCTAAACGCTGACAAAATTTAATGTTGCAGTGCTGTTCTTTAAACTCCATTTTTATTACGTCGCAAAACAAAGATAACTATCTCCGAAAGAAAACAACAGCACTCACAGTTTAATCACGTGACATGGGCGAAACCAACCTGAACACGTAGGAAAGGTTTGATAGAATCAATTTCATACGCTGTAACTTCAAATACATGCTTTTGTCGTCATACATTACTGCAGTCCCCGAACTTTTGGATTGTACCATGTATATAACAGCCGGAAAAGTAAAAATTATCAAATACATATTTATATATTGACTGTGTCATTACTTAGAGGAGTCTTTTAGCTTTGGAATAAAAAGTTTCTACATTCTATCTTTATTAGAACTCTATTTATTGAACCTTTTATTCCGAGGTCACGTGATGACATCAGAATTTCCAGGTCTCTTTCGGTAACAAGTCTGCCCCTGGTTGGAGTCAGAGTCGGTAGATTTTTATGCGACTCCACAGCCCTGGTAAATTGGATATATCATCATCCGAAGCATCATAATAATGTATCGAGAAAATTTTAAGATCAGGGAATTTAAATTTTTACAATACTGTAAATTTAAATGAATTTTAAAAACTGTTTTCATTAAATGTTTTAAAAATTGTAAAATCATCACTGCCAGTTTTTAAAATCTTAGTTCAACAAATAAATGCATAAATCATTTTGAAAACAACTAATCTGAGTATAAACCAAACTAAAAAAAATTACATTGCCTATAATTTTTAAATGAGTAACTTCTCAATTTAATAGACAGAACATTTTTTCTTATATGAAAAATTAGAAACTTATTTTCATGAATAGAGGCATCTAAAAGGCAGCATGCTAGAAGGTTGGATTACAGTTAATGATTATAAATTACTCAATTTAATGGGCTAATTGGGGGAAAAGAAGTGTCTGTTATTGACAAATGTCTGTAGATCAAACGGGTTTCAATTATTAATGAAGAACTTAAAATGTGCATAATATTAATATGCTTTTCATCCTTTTAGTAACACACATAATAAGTGTTATGGCACTACTCAGCACTTTATTGCAGCACCCTTGAAATCTTATGGCTTCTCAATTGAAAACAACTAAATTAACATGTCACTGATATATGTTAAGATATGTAAATTAAAATTAAAATAATTACCAAATAAATATATAATACATAATTTATGCCACTAATATACATTAACTATAGTATAACTGTTATAAATTATTTTTGATTTATAATAGTTAGCTTTTTTTTTTAATAAAATATATTATTTTATACAAAATATAATAGCATATATGAAATTCTAATAAATATATTAAATTAAAGCAAATAAAAATGTTAACACTACACTAACATTCAAAATATAAAATTCTTATTGTAAAAAAATAATTATGTTTAATAATAGGTTTGTTCGTTTGGTTAAGAGAGCGCTTAGTTTCACGCTATTGTGACGTAATTTCTTCATTTTTTAAATAAACAAGTGTAAAATTGACGTCGAATTGACATAAACGTGCACACCACTCAAATGAACAGGCGTCGTACTGTAATTAGTCAGCCTTTCTACAGTTCGACATTTTCACACGGACTAAATATTGCAGAATTTCTATTATATTTATCACAGTTACATTTTCTGTACTTTTTTTAAAATA